ATTTTTAAATATGGACTTGCACTCATGTACATGTACACATACATATATGTACACTGTGCACATATGCAGTGATTTATGTCGTATTTAATAATTGTGATACATATATCTAAACAGGAGCTAGTTTTTATTCCTTTTCACACATTTTTTATCACCATTATCATTATACATGTATGATTTTTTTTTTCGTAGCCGATTCGTAGAATTATGATATTTTCAATGTTAATTGTTATGCAGCGAAAAAAATATCCCAGGTGCAAAAAAGTGAAATAATTATATTAACAGGACAACAATTTACAGTCATATAATTTCTGAAACCCCTATTTTCTTGGTAATAATTGCTTTTCTGCATGATCCGCCTCTGAAAAGCTGTTTTTAGTGCGAATGAAGAGGGGGGTGCTGATAACTTTCATATAAACAAGAACAATCAAGAAAATTTTAATTCTTTTTATTCTTGGAGCTTTTTATAAACAATACTAACTAGTTCATCAATTATGATGATGTTATCTGACCTTTTTCAACCCATTTACCTGGTGATTCGAAATACACGGAAGTGATTCGCAATACACTAAAAAGGTGATCCAAATATAACCCCCGTCAAGGTCGCTGTATTGAAGATAGACTCATTCTGTAAGGTAGATCTGATTTTTCACTAAATTGGCTTTCCTTTGATACCAAACAACCATGTGAAAAGTTTTTAATAAAAACATCTGCAGTCAAAATGTAAACGGTGATTCGGAATACCCTAAATGACTGTACCTCTAGTTATATAACGGGGTTATTGAATCTTCATATTGATGGAGGCGTTTGAATCCTACTAATAAGCATTGATGTCATAGGCTTACCTTCTGTCCACCTTTTCTTAGATATCAAACTATATCGGACACACGAAACATACTTTTTTGCACCAGAAATTTTTCATTAAACAGCTTCATTTTCAAATTCTTAAAGTAATAAAAATATACTGAAAACGTATAACATTTGGCTGTATATTCTTTTTTGCGCCTTTGGTGGAAAGAAACTTCCGGCCATTTAAATAAAACGCTTAATATTTTCATAAATAGGAAGTAGGATCATAAAAAAAATTGTGCTAAATCAAATCTACGCTAACTTTTTTCAAAAATCAATTTCTCCCCCTATATCAAACACGCCAAAAATAATTAATTTACAATAAAAGTTATAGTTCGTGGTTAAGAAGTAGACTATGATAAGGTGAAGTGTGATTTTGTTTTCACGAATAATGGTCTAAGTTAAGAATAGACTGACGGTACATACTGTGTTATGGTACTAGAATCTGTCTGTACATACTATGTTATGGTACTAAGATCTGACTTTTTGTCTAATATGTGCGATCTTACGTCGATAGAGATACAAATAATCATTCTAGATTAAGAAGAGAGGTACGAAAACTCAAGTCCTACGTGTACATGTAAATGTAAATATTAAAAAGATATTTTAATATTTTTTAATATACTACCATTAGAAACTTCTGAACTTCTTTACTGCAGAAAAAAAAATATAAATTATCAAAATGAAAAATATTATCTTTAAGTCAAATAAAACTTTGAATAAATATGTGCTAAATTTAATCACGCTCTAAAAATAAAGTAATACCACGTTAAACTGACATTCCCCTTTTCTAATTATAGTAACATATATAGTTTTCATGATCTACACAACGTTTAAAAAAGCAAATATAATATTGATTTTTCATACTAATCAATTAATTGGAATTTTAAGAAAAAAATTTAAAAATATTAATTTGGAAAAAGTCAATGGAATTTTTTTGCTGGAATCATATTTGTTATTTTAAAAATTTTCCTTGAATGTTTTCTCATATGCAAATTTCTAAACAAGGATGTTAAAGGAAGTCAGGTTAGGAGACTATTTATAAAGATTAAACTCTTTAATAAAAATGTGTGGAAGGTCCGGAGAACCTAGGTTATCAATCAGTACTTCAATACCCCTAGATCACCATACGACCTTCCTTTTTCCAATATAAACAAAGTTTCTGTACAGCTCATGGTTATTTTTTTGTTTGTTTATAACTCTCAAGTTTATTTGTCTTTACTGTGTGCAGACTGCTGTAATGAAATAATATCAATCAAACCAAACGTTCTAGCACCAAGCTAAAAAACATTAATTTTTTTGTAACACATTTTAAAACGGTCAGAACATACTACTTTACATTATTTAATGTAGCTAGTTTTTGTGTAATAAATTCGTTGACTGCATTTACACCGTATACAACGGGTAACGCGGGCGGAGGAGGGGGGGTCGCTCAAAAGTATACGGTGATTTAACTTTGAAAAGTTGATCAAATTTGAAACGTAAGGGAAAAAATAACATATTTAGATTCATTTTAAAACTTTTCTGTCATGTAATTTCGTATGCAAGACTAAAACCAGTACCGTTGGTCTAGCTTAACCGGATGGCTTAACTCAGTTAGCTGGGTTCTGGTACTTCTTATAATAAAACTTATAAAATTGTTTTGCTATTGTGTGTTTCCGAATTTTCTCAGCAACAAGCACATTCAAAGTGATCTATCTAAAACAAAATTACTTTAACTCTTGAAGAAAATTTTCTTAGATTATTACTAATTTGCAGGTTTGAGGCTACATAATTCAGATATATTGAGAGATAGAGCCTTTTGATCAATTTAAGTTAAAGTTGCATTTTAAGATAAAGAATGGAATATGAGATATCAGGTTTATTTAATGCTTATCATGTTAGCCTTTACCTTTGAAGAAAATATCAGAAATTTGCCCTCAATGAAAGGGAATAATTCTATGTAGTATATAACGTAGGAAAGCATGAAGAGCAACATAATCTTTTTAAAGTTTATTGTTTTTAATACTAAAATCAGTATAGACCTTTGTTTTCTGGTACAAAAGAAATAATTTTGTTAGGCTTTTTAAAAAATCATCAAATTTGTATACATGCTGCTGGTTGATTTTTTTTTAAATATGTGTATGATTCGGTGTATATGCCTGTATATGGAATTTCCTTTGAACAAAGCTCAATTTCATTAGTCACATTTTTAAGCTTAATTTGGTTGTATGGAATTTTTTATGTCTCGTTTTTACAGTACCTTTGAAGAAAAATCTATTAATGATACAAATATGTGAAGACGGCATAAACATGGAACCCTGGACATTCCCAGAGGTGGATCAAGTGACGTAAGGTAGTCAGTTGTTTTGAACGGTTACACCTTAAGAACTGATCAGGTAGACAGGGCAGTCAGTATAATAAAAAAACCTAACAGTATATGAATTTGGTAGATAGGCAAGCTTGTGCTCTATGTTTTCCGAAAGCAATGTGCTTTAAAATCTATGAAAATTAGTATAGAAAGGAGAAAATTCGAATGACCTAGTTCTTGACCTCTTTGTGACCTCTGTATATTCTAGATCTTACAACCAATACTCATTTTGTGGCAGGGGTGACAACAGGTTTTTATGGATAAACTGTTGGTTCATTCTAAATGACACCCAAAATCGGGGGGCAAATACTGGTCTTACCCTATCTTGTCCTTTGTTTTATGTATGAATTACACTTATCAGAAATGTGCCAATATCTTAAAAATACATTTAAGACTTAATAAGTTAAACCTTCTGGACCTTGACTTTTATCTTTTTTATTTATTTCAGAAAATAAAATACTTCTTTTTTATTACAGTCCCCCCCCCCAAAAAAACAATCTTGGGATATCATATTCCGTAGCTTTTCACCGTAGTTTTCACTGTCAAAGATTTCTCCTTTTTGAATAATTTTTCATTGAATGCATCAGTTTGATTGGAAAGTCGTGGGTTCGAATCCCTGGTTGTGACTGACCTAAGTCGATAAAGATAAAGTAGCAACTGTTTCTTCGTCAGCTTGACACTTTGAGGTGAAAGTTGCGGTTCCTTCGGATGGACCTTAAAAATCGAGCTTCCGTGTCACGACAGGCATTGGCAGTATAGATATCCTTCACTGCTCAGTGGCCCTGAGTGCCTAGTATTGGTCTAAATTTGAAGCTCTTCACCGGTATATGGTGACGTCTCTAGATGAGTGTAAACGTCTTGAATTGGACGTTAAACAACAAACAATAAATCAACAATTTTTTAGGGAGAACGTAGCAAATTTTCAGTTTGGGACATTCTGAAGGGAAAATTTTAAGAAAAAATTTATTTAAAGACAAATTAGAATAAAATGTTTAAGAACCTGAGATCGAATGTATTTTCCTAAATAGGTGCTTTAGCTAATTTGATATAAGGCCTAATTTGCTTAATGGGACATTGGTGTAAGTACCTCATCTTTGATAATTCAAGCCTTTATTTATGACGATAAAAATGTGATAAACGTATAAAGGTACCCCTGAGTATTAGGAAATATTTTAGAGGTTTTTTTTCTCCTAGACATTGAATATACAATTTGAAAAAGGAAGTTGGTGCATTTAAAAGGAATGCTAATTGAAAAAGCAAGCTGAGAGTTTGCAAATATTTTATAAAGAGTTTCCTTCCTCATAAATGCTTTAGAAAATTGGTGAAGACACTCTCACACTCACACTTAATTAATACCAAATCATACTAAAATAAAAAAAAATCAAGAGAAAATTTAATCATTTCATTTTTGTTCATTTAATTTGAACATTTTCAATTGCAATAAATATATACATGTATATTGGTGTTGGGCACAAGTTCTTTAAACTAAATTCGACCGTTTTTACGTGTACTGGTAATACAACAAAAATGGATCAAAGGTGTTTAACGGATTTTACAGAATTATTTTGTTAATTTATCTATGTATATGAACTGGCCTTCAAATCAAAGGAAACATCACTCTTCTAAAGTTTAAATCACAAAAAATAATGATCTCTTATAACATTAAATTTATTTTCCAAAAACAGAAATATCCAATATTTCATCGAAAAAAATAAAGTCAAAGAGGCATTTCAAACAAACATTTTTTTCATAAATTACTATAAATTACTATTGAATCTATTACTTTCAAAGTATTAAATAAGCTTTACTTTCCTACAACGATTGGTTTAAATTTGTAATAAATAGCGTATCCACTGATGCCGGAGAAAAACCTGTAAAATAACATCAGAGGAATAAGTATATTTATTATATAGAGCCAACTTTGACAATCCACAAGCTTAGTTTCCAGATTTCTGTGACAGCTAGGCTTGTTGGTGGAATTTAAAATCCAGTGGTTCATATTCGTCATCATGAGATTAACTCCTCCAGATGAAATGAAAAGAGAGGATTGTCCTTTGGGACGGAAGCGTCTAATTTGGATCAAAAAGTGAGTCTGTAGAAAAGTTTCCAGCATTAAAATAATACGAGTACACAGAAAGGTCTTTAGATGGGTAAAATTACCTGGCAGTGTGAATGCGGTCACCGTACCAAACATGTAGTAAGCCATTGTTCCAGAGGAACTCAGAATTAGTAGATATTCGTTTGCTGTCAATTTTTCTGGTCTCCTAGAGTCGCAGAAATATTTTTTCAGATGATAGCTACTAACATAAATAGGAAGAATGATGCAGAGAGAACTCAAAACCTCCCCAATTTGAAGTGCAAGTATTGCGTCCTCACTTTCCCAGTTTAAAGCAAATATAAGTAATACTGTTGTGAGAAAAAATGGTACATTCATAAAAATACCAAACGCTCCAGCAAAAATATGTTGTCCAATAATATGACGTCCTTCTTCTGTAACAGACGTTGAGCCTCCCCTAAAATGTTTATTTGTATAATAATTCAGTTTTTCATTTGTTTCATCAGAAGACCACCTCAAAAACCAAAATATGAAACTTGAGGCAAGGATACAGAACTCCATTCTCTTTGGTATCAGGAAAGATGTTACATGTTTAGCCAGTCCTTTTTGTATCTTGGATGTTCGAAAACAGTAAGACGCATTGCTATATCTGGGAACGGTATCATTTCCATGATGAAAAACATTAATATCACTAATAAATGTATTAAACCAGATGACAAAATTTGCCACCAGAATAAAAATGCAGGAAAAGTTAACAATAGTAGTCTGTATAAATCTGATCCCTCGGTAGTATGAAATAAAACTCAACTGAATAAGGAGAAACAATATTAAAATAATACTACTTAGCAAGGAGAAAGTGGCCTCAACTGACTTTGTGGAAATAAAAGGAATGCACTCGACATAAATCGCTGTATTGATCGATATATGTACAATTACTGCAAGTCCAAAGATCCAGAGAAATACTATCCTAAGATTCAAAGAGGGATCAGCCGTATTGGTTAAGTTATTTCCATCTGTGGTCAGTTTACTCCTGAAAGCAGCTATGATGAGAGTTACGAAAGAGCTCAATCCAATAGTCACTAACGTCATCGTTACCACCCAGTTCCTTGTTTTAGCTTCATTTGAGAACGCTTGGTCAGCTGCATTTATTGCAATGATAACGAAAGCACCGGACACAATGTGCACGAACAACAAGAAAGCTACACGTTGACCACTATTGTGTACTCTTGATCCCCGCGTTACTGGAAGAATTGGATATCCCAAAATTCTAAATAGATTTCCAAAGACTTTAAAAACATCCATGTCTGTGCACAGGAAAAAGCAGATTGAGATTATAAAAAAGCAAAATTGCGTGACATGATAAAAAGAATGAGGAAAACCTCGTCGCTTTGATTGATTACACTTCTTTAATTGTTAGTAATTAAATATTGGTAATTACAAATTCTTGATTGGATAAAGCATGTGACAAGCAAATCTTCATTCTTCTTTCTGACAATCCCTTTTCCTTTGAATTGATGTTTTAACCGAGTAATAAATTGCAAGATATGGAAACAGACAAGTATGCGAAAACTATATCTCTGTAAATTTCACCGAATTCATTCGCTTGAAGCAAGATAATGAAGTTTTAAAGTAGGTATCCGATACCATGTTTTGGATTATTAAAGTATTTTTATTTGCTTTAATTGTTTTGACAATGTTTTTTGTTAACAATACTTAAGATTTGGTTTTATTATTCTATTTTTACTTGTGTTTACTTGTTATCGTGCATATTGGATTGTTTAATTGCTTTTTTGTATGTATTTGAGATTTAGATAGCATATGATTTTGATAAGATGAAAAATTTCTTACAGAGAAGCGGGTGGATGGATTTGTTGTGTAAATTTCAAAAATATATAATTGTTTCTGAGGTTTATAATTACAAATAGTGTTTGTTTTCAAAAAGGACTTAAATCTGTCTTCCATCTTTGTTTGTAATTGACATTTACATTTTGTTTTCTTTTAGGTAGAAAACGTGGGAATAAATTTTAAAAAAAAAAATGTTGATGTCAAATCATTGCCTTCTTCATAACCCATTTCTAAAGTTTCAATGACTTTATGTTGTTATCATAAACATAAACCTTATATTTAGTAATTTGTTTAAAAAAATAAAATCTAATACTATGTTCAATGTATTTTCAAAAATTATGCTTTTTTAATTATTTTAGCGTTAAATCTAAAAATTGACCTTTTTGTAAATTTATGAATAATGCTACTGGACAAAACAAAGACATCTAAAACAATGACAACCATACAAAAATTCCCATACCTCTGTCAGGACACAAATATCGCTCAACCATAGATATACGAGCAGTATTTTACTGCAGAGATCAACATGAAAGGCCTTAGCTTATGAGATAAATTATTATGAGGTTGGAATTGCCACACGTGGATTTTAAAATAAGCTGGAAAAACCTTTCGTAGCTAATTTCAATCGCTACAAGAAGGATTTATTGAATTTTGTTATATATACGGCATATTTTTTATAAAACTTTATAGGGAATAAGATTTTGCCTCGACTTTGTTATTTCTACAGAGAAATAACACGTTCAATCAAATACCAAGGCTTTTCAAGGGTTAATTTGGAGTTCATGTCCGTATTTGCACTTTCATGCAAGTTCCAAAAATATCATTACCATTTTATTTTTTAAGGAAATATGTATATAAAAAAAAACACTTTTCAATATTGTGTACTCAAAGTGGTTATATTGGGGTTTTTTTTCATAAGGAAACATTACTTCTTGAAAAACATACAAATATTCAATAAGTGTAGTAAATTCGATGCTTATAAATTTCAAGAAATTTAGATAATTCAAAATCACAAGATTTTACCAAAATCAAAAGATAAAGCTTAAAAAGTTATGATTTTTTAACTTTATGAACAACCACTCCTCACGATAAATTAAATTCCAATCTTTTTTTTATATCATTGACATCTGCTTTTTCAATAAAAAGAATAATGGAACTCGTAAATTTACTTACTTGGCATTGGTCCCTTGCAAAATCATTTTCATAAACAACTTTCTGATTTAAACCATAATTACTCTGAAATCCACATCAAAACAGTTTCTTAGTTTCTGTAGACAATATCTATGTGGTTTATTTTTTTTTTTTTTTGGAGACCAAGTCTTCCAACAATCTATTGGAATTCCCATTAGTACCAATTGCTTTCCGTTATAAGCAGACTTATTTTGTATTCATATGAAGCGGAATGTGTGCAAAAATCTTGAAAAGAAGAAAACACTTACTGTACCTTTCAACTCGACATTTAGATATATCGACGACGTATTGTCAATTTACAATGGAAATTTCCAGTTTTATTTCGATATGATACATGTACATGTATATTCTGTTGAGTTTGAGATTAAAGATACCACAAAGCCTGACACCACTGATTTATATTTGGATATTTTACTTGAAAAAGACATTAATGGTAATCTAACAACCAAGCTCTATGATAAATGTGATGATTTAAACTTTTCTATTGTCAACTTCCCTTACTTATGCAGCAATATACCTTCATCACCGAGTTTATATATCTCAGGTGATTCGAAACGCAAGAGCATGCTCTAGGTATGGATAATTTCTCAAACGAGGTAAATTATTGACAACAAGTTTATGGAACAAGAATATCAGCAGTCTAGTTAAAAGTACCGGAAATCATTTTGTAAGTTCTTTGGTCGATACAATTACCTTGTCATATAATACAACCTTATCATTGAGTCAAATACTGACTGACGTTTTTCATACTAATTGTTAGTCCATTATTTATACACTGAATTGACGACGGATTCTTTCGTTATTACCCTATCATTTCAATGAGCATACCGCGGATGTGACCGGTAAGCAGGGGATGCTACTCCAACATGGCACTTGATCCCACCTCTGATACTTTAAGGTCCGTGTTTACACTGCTCCTATTTTGTATCGTTTATTGACTATTCATCTTGAGTATTGTTTATTATTTCCAAATGTTTCACGCTACAGCCATTTCATCTGTGACGCCTGTCTTGACTCCAAAATCTATCCAAAGAAAAACTTTGTTAAATCATTTTTTTAAAATTTACATTTATTCCTCAAATTGTGCACAATATCTTTGCATGAAACTTTTTATATATATATATATATATAAAGCTATTTACTATTACCATTTGTAACATAAAAAGCTAAAACAATTTCTAAAACGAGGTAAGTTATTTATAACCAAGTTGATGAATATCAGAGGTCTCATTTAAAGTCATCATTACATAAGTTCTATGGTCGATACAAATCAAGATCAGCAAATATTGTATCATTAGAAATGCTCGTCCTCCTCCATGGCACCTGATCCCACCTTTGATGTTTTGGAGGTCGGGTTTTTCTCTGCTTTTTGCATTGTTTGTTGAGTTTTTAAGCCTGAATACCGTTCGTTATCTCCATAGAAATCTTATATCCATCCACCTGTCTGTATCTCAGCTAGTCTGATTAGTTGACCCTTTGTTTGTCAGTCATTTTGTAGAACTTAAAATTTATTGTTCTGTCAGAAGTTTGCAGACATCTAAAAATAATTTGCTTATGCACAAGGAATTCTTACGCGGGCTATTTATTTTTTCTGCAACATCTGATGTAATTAAGTCCTGTACTAACAAACAGAAAAAGCAATTTATAGCTCTAGAAAATTAACTGCAAGTTAGCAAATGTATGAAATTTGTTCATTGCCTTTATTTGATGATATCTTTGACCCCCTTTCACTTCATATTAATTTCTAATAAGAAGGATTCTAAGTATACCAGGGTTTATTTTTTAACTTTGCTTATTTGAGTTTTTGCCTGAACTGTTTGACTAGGTTTCTACTGTTAACAGTGAAGAAAGGGAGAAATGGTGAAAAACAATTTCAAATTTAAGGCTATATCTTATCATTCAGAGGGAATATCCATGATGAGTTTTCTAGGATTTGTGTAAGAAAGTGTAAGATTTAAATTAAATAGCTGTAATTCATGATTCAAACTTTTCTTATCTGCAACAATATATCCTACACGCAAGTGCATGCTCTACGTATGAATAATTTCTAAACTGAGGTAATCAAGAATATCAACAGACTCGAAAAAGGTAATATTTTCAAGTCCTATGGTCGATAATATGAACGTGACAGCAAATAAAATTTGGCATTGAGTCAAATGCTGACTGACGATTTTTAATACTAGATGTTCGGCCAGTATTTTCAAACTGAATTGACGACGTTTTTTTCAATCATGACAATGAGCACATGGCGGGTGTGACTAGTCGGCAAGTAATCCTCCATGGCACCTGATTCTACTGAATCATTAATGAATCATTAAAATCATTTAATGGATTTTGAGCTGACTGCTGTCCCTTTTATTCATGCATTTTAGATTTGGACATGTTTTATTTAATACTGTTGTAGTTCTTTCCTTTTTAAAGATTATTTGTTCTACATTGAAAATGAAAACTATTGAGATAAGACCACTACAATCTACCCTGTGAATTAATTATACTCAAAAAATACAAAAATAAAAATTTAATTTGACCAAATAGTAACAACTGTGATCAAACAATAATCCATTTACTGTTAAGAATGCTGAAATTGATAGGTCGACGGGGAATTTATTCATCAACAACAATAAGTTTAGGTGTTTTACTTCGTGTTGTCCTGACGTCGTTTGTTCAATAGAATGAAAGTCTAAACCCAAGCTGTAAACCCAAAAACTCTACTAGAATATATACAATGAAGCGCATTGAAGTGGTAAAATTTCCCGTTCGAATGGAACGTTTTGAGCTATCTTTAGAACGTTTATTGTCATCTTATGACACGCCTATTTCTTTAGAAATGGATAAAAAGGTCAATTTGTTTATTCGAATACCTGTAGAACAGGTTTTCCTATAATAGCCAATGAAATTGAAGGTCTAAAGAAATACCGAGTAAACATGTGTTCGACCGAAACATGTGTTGGGGTAACTTCAATAGACATGATAAGTTCAAAAATATGTACATATTCGTTGCAATTTGTGTTTTACAGAAGCGGAGCGTCTCTAACTCTCTCTTCTACTTTTTT